GTAAAATGCAAATTGATTTTGCCAGTTTGTTGGTGAAAGACGAATTTTTCAATAAACTGGTACTTTTACAACAAAAATCAACACAATTTTTCTGCAGAGAACTACCTGCATCAATAAAAAACAAAAAAAATGTTATCCTGTTAGGTTCCAAGTTTAGGTTTTAGGCTTTTTGAACTCAATTTGGACAAGCCGATCCAGTTTTTAATAATTGGCTAGAACTCATTCAATGACTTTTTATTTTTTTATTTGCAATGCCGTTACAACTGAACAAAACACTAATATTTATTACTTATTTGAAAAAGTGAATCACCTTATCAACGTTTTTTATGCAAAATTGTGAAAACCATAATTTTTTGGTTCATACATGTAAAAAACCACATATGTTCGAAATTACATACACGTTCAAAAACACAGATATTCAAAATTACATACAGGTTAAAAAACATAGAACCTCATAAGACGGATAACGCAGCTAAACACATGCGATCCAGTAATTAGTCGTAATATCTGGTTGGCTCCATCTATTGAACTACTACAATTTATGATATTCGATGAACTTAATTGAAATGCCAAGACCAATTTGACAGGTTACTCTCGATGCCATTTGTTACTTTGAATTGTTGTTCCGACTTTCGATACGAAAGTAACGGAATATTTGGGCTCGGGTGGTTTTTTTTTCTTCAGACAAAATTCGACTTTTTAACTAGCCATTTTTGACGGAAGATTTTTATATCATTCGAAAGGTATTGTTGTCCTGAGCTCAAATTTGAAAAGATATTTCACCTGTAATCGTTTTTCGTAAAGTTATGGGGGTTTAAAGATTGCCATTTTGGCCAATTTGGGACAATTAAAGCGCGATATATTTCGCGCTATTAACGCGTAAACGGAGAGTTAATCCATTATAGAAATCGTTCCAAATTGGTCTAAAGAAGCTTATTTGCCATAATTGGTTTGTTACAAAGAGCTAAATTTATCCTTTTGTACTTTATAGGTCGTGTGGGGGGATAATTATCATTAACAATTTCAAATTTTAGAATTTTTTTCTTCATTTTGTTTTTTTGTTCCAACTTTCGATACGAAAGTAACGGAACATTTGTGCTCGGGGTGGGTTTTTTTTCTTCAGAGAAATTTCGACTTTTTAACTAGCCAGTTTTGACGGGATTTTTCTATATCATTCGAAAGGTATTGCTGTATTAAGTTCAAATTTGAAAAGATATTTCACCTGTGATCATTTTTCGTAAATATACGGGGGTTTAAAAATTACCATTTTGGCTAATTTGGGACAATTAACGCGCGACATATTTCGCGCTATTAACGCGTAAGCGGAGATTTAATCCGTCTTAGAAATCGTTCCAAATTGGTTAAAAGAAGCTTATTCGCCGTAATTGGTTTGCTACAAGGAGCAAAATCTATCCTTTTGTACTTTGTATGGCGTGTGGGGTGATGATTTTCATAAAAAATTTCAAATTTTAGAAAAAAAAAAATTTTATTTTATTTTTTCTTACATTAAATTTTTTAATGTTATTACTGCTCCATAAACCTTAAAAGGCAGTCGGAACATTCAGGGCTTCGCCCTGATACGAGCAGTCTTGTTTCATTGAATTTTTAAATGTTATTACTGCTCCATAAACCTTAAAAGGCAGTCGGAACATTCAGGGCTTCGCCCTGATACGAGCAGTCTTGTTGTTCCGACTTTCGATATGAAAGTAACGGAATATTTGTGCTCGGGGTGGGTTTTTTTTTTCTTCAGACAAATTTCGACTTTTTAACTAGCCATTTTTGACGGAATTTTTTTATATCATTGAAAAGCTATTGTTGTCCTGAGCTCAAATTTGAAAAGATATTTCACCTGTGATCATTTTTCGTAAAGTTATGGGGGTTTAAAGATTGCCATTTTGGCCAATTTGGGACAATTAACGCGCGATATATTTGGCGCTATTAACGCGTAAGCGGATATTTAATCCGTCTTAGAAATCGTTCCAAATTGGTTAAAAGAAGCTTATTCGCCATAATTGGTTTGCTACAAGGAGCAAAATCTATCCTTTTGTACTTTGTATGGCGTGTGGGGTGATGATTTTCATAAAAAATTTCAAGTTTGAGAAAAAAAAATTTCATTTTATTTTTTCTTACATTAAATTTTTTTATGTTATTACTGCTCCATAAACCTTAAAAGGCAGTCGGAACATTCAGGGCTTCGCCCTGATACGAGCAGTCTTGTTTCATTGAATTTTTAAATGTTATTACTGCTCCATAAACCTTAAAAGGCAGTCGGAACATTCAGGGCTTCGCCCTGATACGAGCAGTGTTGTTGTTCCGACTTTCGATACGAAAGTAACGGAATGTTTGTGCTCGGGGGTGGGTTTTTTTTTCTTCAGACAAATTTCGACTTTTTAACTAGCCATTTTTGACGGAATTTTTTTATATCATTGAAAAGTTATTCTTGTCTTGAGCTCAAATTTGAAAAGATATTTCACCTGTGATCATTTTTCATAAAGTTACGGGGGATTAAATATTGCCATTTTGGTCAATTTGGGACAATTAACGCGCGATATATTTCGCGCTATTATCGCGTAAGCGGAGAGTTAATCCGTCTTAGAAATCGTTCCAAATTGGTTAAAAGAAGCTTATTTGCCATAATTGGTTTGTTACAAGGAGCGAAAACTATCCTTTTGTACTTAATATGGCGTGTGGGGGGATGATTTTTATTTAAAAAAATTAAATTTTAGAAAAAATTTTTCATTTATTTTATTTCATTGAATTTTTTAAAGTTATTACTGCTCCATAAACTTTAAAGGGCAGTCGGAACATTCAGGGCTTCGCCCTGATACGAGCAGTCTTGCTACATTTCAATAAGAATGAAAAACTGTTCTTATGATTTAATACTGAAAGCGATAAACGAGAAAGGTCTGAATTTTTACTTGCAAAATTTTAAGTGCAGAATTAGTTTTTGAACATTGAGCAAAAATTCATTCTAGAGGCAGTAATACCTACTGTAAAAAGGGATTTGGTAGTCATTATGTTTCATCTTACTATCTTAATTCTTTCTTTCATCCTCAAGTGACTTGACTTTTTTGTTTACTCGGCTGCTTACAAAAATTTGCAATTCAAGTTGATATCAAAGCTTACCTCCAAAAAATGATAACTATCAGTAACTTTGGTGTCCAGAATTTTCAACATAATGATAACAAAGTTTTAAAGAATAAAGTCCCTTAGAATAAATTGTTGGATACGTAATTTTTGTTGATGCCGACAAAAGTGAAATTTTTTCTTGAGCTGTGTAACTTTCTGTGGAAGTAATGAATTTTTAAACAAAAATTCTTAAACAAATATTCAAAATTTTTCTGAGATCATCAAATTATAGAAGATACACTCAAAGACAACTGTTTCCATTGCTCATTCTGTTAGTCAGTAGCTTATATTTGCACGCAGAGTTTAAAGACATTAGGATAAATCAGACCAACCCATTCCCCTAAGCATTTTAGACACTTGCATCGGGAATTGAGACATATAGTGCCACGTTTGAGTTTTTGTTAACTGATTTACTTATGTACTATTAGTGTGGTGGTGGCAATTTTAGGGAATAGTTTTGGATAATCATTAAATTTTGCGCAAAATAAGACATTTCTCTTTCAGATCCGATGACGCATTTTTACGCTAAATTTGCATAAAAATACCTTTAGCGATTTTTGCGTCTGTGCTTGCACGTAAATTGTCTCATGTGACAGAACAAGCTTTGCGGTTGTTTTAGAGTTAACACTGTTTTAATAACAAATATTTCAATGAATTGAATTATCTAGCTTTTTTTTCAATCTTAACAGATAAAGGTTTATAGCCTACGTCCTAAAGGACCTATCTGAAACTGTTTGTATATAAATATTTAGCTGCGATTGAGGTAACAGTTGAAATGCGATAACATTTTTTTTCCACTTTTTTTGGGTTATTCAAATTTTGTATGATGAAACTTTGAGACCAAAAAAAAATAAGAGTTATTTGAGTGAAATCAGCGGAACTCGTTACCTTGCAATGATGCGAAAAGGATGAAATGACGAAAATTTTCAGCTATTCAATTCCCACTAAACTGTCAAAGCTGACTGATTTCATCGCTTGCTTTGAACGCAAAGAGGAGCCTTGCAGCGCTTGCGGTACAAAGCAAGCATAGTACTACAGGTAGCTAATAGAAAATAGCACAGAATAACTAAGTCGAAAAAAAAATATTTTTTTTTTTGAAAAGTTCAAATTAAAAAAAAAAAACAGTTGGGAAACACTAACACTAATGAATAAGCTTTTAGAATTAACCAGGCGGCGACTCACTAAGTCGACAAAACGAGGATAGACGCTCATTGGGCCGGAAACAATAAATTGTTACCATAAAAGCATTTCAGCTATTAAGTTTTTAAATTTTAATTTGTTCACCACAACTGACCTGATGTATGAAGAAAAACAATCAAATTTTGTTCGTCAAAGTAGACAAAATAAGTTGGCTTAGCCGATAAAAACTACGCCAAAATCATTCAGGCCGAAAAAAAAGCTTTTAACCGAAAAAAAAAGAAGGAAATAATACAAAATCAGGGTTGGTAAGAATAAAACATGTAAAAGTAAATCAACCACACTTGCAACTACATTGAAAATTGCTTATAGCTCATAAAAAAGCTGTGATGTGGCAACAAAACATAAACAGACAAACGAAAGTCAGTCAACTCAACTTTTCCCGGAGAAAATTTTTTCAACTCAATCCGTAGTGAAAAAAAAAGTCTGACCGGGAGTCAAACCCCTTACCTTAGGGTGTAAAGGCAACAGCGTTGACTCTCAGCTAAATTGTAAGGAATCTGGAAGTTTTTAAGGTTCCTCCAATATTCTGGAAGTTTTCAATATTCAAGCAAAATCAGTTTTTAACAGATTTTCTTTGCGGGAAAAAAGTCTGGTTCCCGATTGCACTTGCAAGGGTAAAACTTTCCAATTATACTCTAGTAACTGATCAAACGAATAAAATCATCACTTCTTTATATCAACGGAGTGCATAGTTCTTTATATCTCCCATAGTTTTTAACCAATTGAATAGTTTCGGGATCAGTACTCAGCAATTCTGGTGATTTTTCCTCTTTGTTTAACTTAGTTTTATCTGCGCCGGCTTTCAACAAGGCACTGCACACACTCGAGTGTCCACCTTCGCATGCCAAATGTAGTGGGGTGTTTCCTTCTGAATCGGAAATATTCACCAGTTTCGCAACTCCAGCGCCTTGAAGCATTAATTCAACTACTTTCCAATGACCAAGAGAGCTGCATCTGTGCAAAGGAGTGGCTCCGTGGTTGTCTTGAATGTCTAACTTTGCACCAGCTGTGATCAAAAACTGAACCACTTCTAGTCTGTTTTTAGAGCACGCGTAATGCAACGGAGTTTGCCCAGTTGCATTTTGGGCATCTAAGTCAATGTTAAAAGGTTTGAGGATTTGAAGAATTTCAACGTTGCCAATCGAGGCGCAAATATGAGCACAGGTCCATTTAGCATCATCTGGAACAAGTGGATCAAAGCCAGCTTGTAGAAGTTGCTTCAAAGTTGCAACTGAACCTCCCACACAAGCCCACATTATAGCTGGTCGTCCACTCTTGGAGGCTTTTTTAACAACATCTTGATTATCTTTAATGAATTGAGCGACAAGATCAGACTTTTTCTCCGAGCAATAGTCGCAAAACTTTTCCAAATCAACACTCATCTGAAATTATTTCCAATTTACAGATTATTCAAATTACTGAATACTGAAAAAACTATATCTTTATAATCCATATTCTCTATTTCAAATACCGGGAGGCAGATTAAATCCTGAGAAGTCAATCACAACCAAATTAAAGATATTCAACAAAAATTTCTTGAAGACATAAGTCAGCTATGTAAAAAACACAACTAAAAACATCAAACTCATGAATTGAAGTAAAACAAAATTGAGTCATTATCACAAAATTTATACATCAATTCAACAAAATAGCCAAACGGGAAAGCCCCCATAATGAAATGAAAACGAAAAAACTTGCGTTACAAAGAAGAAAGTAAATTATCTTATAGTTTTTATTTTTTTTTCTGATGGCGCAGCCAGCAGTCGTACAATCGGATGACAGAACGGATCTGTTAGGAGTACCAGTATACTGGGAAACAGTATCTGCAGAACCCCCGTTTCCGTGGGAAACATGGGTAAGACAATTCTTCCTGGCAATATCTATCAAGGAAGGTTGTGACCCTAACGTACTACTATCAATTCAAGATCCGGTTTTCGACGATCCACCACCAAATACAGAAGCAATACCAACCTCAGAAACACCAGATCAAACGAATATTAGAACAGCGCGAGACGCGGCAGCTATCCGGATAGTAACCGAAAGCAATTCGCAAAGGAGAAAAAAGGACCCAAAATCGGCCCAAACACGTATTATCACGAAGCGGACAACCGGGTAAAATCAAGACTTTTCTTTGCCCTCGGAATTGAAGGAAAGAAAATATTTCTCCAACAAAATCCACACTCAAACTTAAACACAAGAAGCTTCAAATAACCTCTGCGAGTTACTCTTCAGGAGAGAGAAAAACTATATTGTAGAAAGAATGCAAACATACAACGTGCAGCAGGGTGACAAAGAAGGCCTTAAAGTTTTTTATCTTCCGCATTCCGAACAAGCGGAAAAATGCGGTTGGAAACAAGTCATTGAAAGAAAAGTAATACGCGATATTTTCTTTGCAAAAATGAATTTCTCGGAAACTCAAAGAGAACTCTGCATTTGACCCGGCAACACCGTAGAAGACACAATAAAAGCAGCCCTTTAGCACGAAAAGGGATATGCAACGGCAAATACATTACTACAGCGAAATACATGAGGCGGTTACTCGAACTACAAACCTTTTAAGGTGAAACAAGAACCCACAATGCCGATCCGTTCAAGGAACAACGTCCAAAGTAGGATGAACCGGTCACTGAACAACAATAGAAACCAAAATCGTAGAAACATTAACTCAAACCAAAATCAGAAGTCGGTAAACCAAAGCTCCTGAAAACCTTGTTACTTTTGCGGCAACAAAATTACACCCGAACATATAGACAAGTGTGCAGCTCGAAACGTCAATTGTAACCTATGTGGTAGCAGAGGTCACTTCGCAAAATGCTGCAACACAGCCGAACCACAGGTAGATAATGTCATATCAGATGAAGAAAGGACAAATTTTATCGACTCCGATAGCGAACCAGAATATTCTGTTCTAAGGGTCAAGGAGGTAGACAACATCGGAAACTCGGTCAAAAGTTAAGAAGTTATCAAGGCTGGAACTGGAAAAACAAAATGTTTGAGAGCCACAATTGGAGCGAAAGGAGTACTGTTCAGCGCGTCTATTGACACGGGAAGTCCGGCATCTGTTGTCAACTTAAAGACAGCTCATATGTTATTATCCAAGGACCCAAAAGCAAAAAAATTATCAATTCAAGAGAGACCAAACACCACATCATTACTTGTTTGCAACCACAGACCCATATCCCTATTTGGAACACTGTTAATAGCTATCAATTCAAATGGCTGCGTGAAGAAGCACGCAAAATTTCTAATCTGAAAATAGAACACGCTACCTACTAGGTCTAGACTTACAACCTGATCTAGGTATCGTGACAAAACAACTGAAAACACCAAACACCGAAAACGCGATAGCAGAATCAAAAGAAGAGATAGAATCGACAATATCAAAAAAACCGTGGAAAGAACATTTCGTCAAAAGATACGAAGACGTATTCACCAGATTGGGCAGGTCAAAAAACCACTAAGTATATACACTTTTTAAATCGCTATTAATACCTATACAAGAAAAGGGAAGACGAGTCCCGGTTCACATACAACAAAAATTCAGCAATCAAATTCAGAAGCTGATCAAGGAGTGACACATAAAAAAATAAGATAAATGCACGAAAGACCATTTCGTAGCCCCGGTTGTAATAACGCCGAGCCAAGCCGATGAACGATCAAAATTTCAAAAACAAATTCCAGATGCCAAACTTGCTAGAGCTCATCGATTCCGCAGCCCAAACTAAAACATCACATAAAAGTGAAAAAGTTTGGTTTACATCTCTAGATCTAAAGTATGCATTCAGTCATTTAAGACTAGATAAATCGATGAAAACACAGAAAATTAAGTACTGTACGTAGAGAACACACGGGCACATAGCTTCAAAACAGGCTTCTACGGGTTGACAGACATGCCAAAAGAGATTCAACGATAATAACACACGGATGAATTATACATTTGGTGGCATTCCTGAATTATTCTGCTTTTTAGATGATGTTTTAATCGTTTCGAAAGAGACATCTTAGATAAAAACAAAATTGTCGATGAAGTCATGAGGACAGATGCAAAAGATTTCGCGTTAAAAGTTTGTAAGTGTAATTTCTCCAAAGAATCTCTAACTTGATAAGGATTCGAGATTGACTTAATAGGCATCAGACCAAGACTTTCGAAACTAGAAGCAGCCCTGAACCTATCACCTCCTCAAACGCTAAAAAAATTAAGATCATTTTTGGGAGTACTGAACCACCTACCTAGATTCGTCCCAAATCTCCAGATGACCACAGAAGCGCTCAGACCATCACTGAAATTAAGCAACAAAACAAAATTTGTGTGGGGGAAACCGCATGAACTAGCATTTAAGTCGTTACTGCAGTTAGTAGCAGACATAATTAAAACATATCACTACAACCAATCAAAAACTATTGGATAAAATGTGACGCTAGCCACAAAGGCCTAGGTGCCGCCTTAAAACAGAAAGTTGAACCTGGAGTATGGGCACCAATCCCATGCACTTAAAACTACTCAACACCGCAGAACATAAATACAGCACAAACGAGCTTGAGCAACTAGCAGTAGTATGGTCGTGTGAGTTTTTTCGTCATTACTTATTGGGAAATCAATTTCATATTCTGAGGGACTATAAAGCAATAATTTCTGCATTGACAGAAAATCGAGGAAATCGAACATACCAGTCAAGACTAACAAGGTGGGCTTGTTAGTCAAGACTAACATTTGAATACACCATTTTACATACCGCGTGAGAGAAGATTGGAGTAGCGGATTATCTACCTCGTGATCCAAAGTTACCGGCACCATCAACATCACTATTTGATGAACAATTTGTAATCAAATCCATAAAAAACTTCGATATAGCCTGTAGAAATATCCAGCTGGAAAAGGTCAAGAGGCCGTTAGAGGGCTCAGAAATCGAGGACGTAAAAGTTATCTTTGAGGCAGAATTCCAACCGGAAGAGGGCGTCGAATACGAAGATAATATCTTCATCCAATCAGAGACGTTCCGCCAACTTTGAAAATTTCCGCATGAGGGCGGCACTCATGAGCTCACGAAAGCTAAATTATGCGGATTTATGCAACAAATCCAAACAATCAGGAAGCAGTACGGCTATATGGTCCCGACAGTTGGTAAAATCATTTTTCCGACCTTAAAGCCAAATTCATGTTTTCAAAATCACCATAATTTCTGATCAAATAACTCTAATCTGAAATTATCAAAACACTATCATAACTCACAAATCAATTCCATTAACAAATTTATTCTCAGACAAAGACAGATAACAAATTTAAACTACTTTCTATTTCGGAAAGGATCATCAGCTTAACAATTACATCAATCGTCAGGGGAAGAGCGGTGAAGAGACCATCAGAGATTTCAATTGCTAGGAACATCTAAAGACCAGTAACAGAGACCCCGAAAAAGAAGTTGAAGTTGAGAAACAACTATGCCAAAACTCTTGCGAAACTCAGATTGAACAGATTACATAAGGCGGCTAAACTCAACTCGATGATTACTAGAACCAGCAAGATTACAGCAGGAAACGTGGCAAAAGTTACCAAGGACCGGAAGAATTTCACAACAGGATTAGCAAATCTTCTAGATGCAGATCTTGTGGGGGAACAAGCATCAGAAGACAGTCAATTGGCACCACTTAAGAAGTGCATCCTAGTCAACCTAAATGACCTAAATCAACTCTCAGATTCCGGAGAGAGAAAAAGAAGTGTCGTAGGAATCTAAATAGTCTAGAATTTGACCTCATCAGTCATCCGAATAGAGGGCATGCATTCCGCAAATTGTATAATTTCGAATTTAAAGAGAATTCAAATTACTGAATACTGAAAAAGCATTATCTTCATAGTCTATATTCTCTATTCGAAATACCGGGAGGAAGATTAAATCCCGAGAAGTCAATCAGAACCAAATTAAAAATTTTCAACAAAATTTCTTGGAGACATAAGTCAGCTATGTAAATAACACAACTAAAAACATCAAACTCATGAATTGAAGTAAAACAAAACTGAGCCATTATCACAAAATTTATACTTCTTTTCAACAAAATAGCCATATGGTACAGCCCGCAAATTGAAATAAAAACGACAAAAACTTGCGTTACAAAGAAGAAAGTAAATTAATCTTATAGTTTTTAATTTTTCTCATGGCGCAGCCCTCAGTCGTACAATCGCATGACAGAACAGATTTGTTAAGTGTACCAAAATACTGGGGAAAAGTATCTGCAGAACCCCCGTTTCCGTGGGAAACAT